ATATGTCAACCATGAGTTAAAGTCAAATCTTAGGCATGTGGAGTGTGACGAGGAAAATGTGGAGGCTTTATGGGTAGATATCTGCTTGGGGCAAACAAAGGGAAATCAATTATTGGTTGGGATATGTTATAAACCACCTAATGTAAATATTAATGAGGAAGAACAGCTGTTAGAGCAAATCGAGAAAGCTGCAAATCGAGGTAACACGTTAATTATTGGAGATTTTAATTATCCAGACATAAATTGGGAAAGAGGGACTAGTACTTCAGCAAGGGGCATCAGGTTTTTGAATGTGTTAAACGACACCTTTATGTCACAACTGGTACAAGCACCAACTAAAAAGGATGCTTGTCTGGATCTTGTCATAACAAACAATGTTGATCTTTTAACCAACATTCAAGGAGGGGAGCATTTGGGAAATAGTGATCACAATATGGTAAATTTTGAAATAAACACAAAAAAGCAAAAGCAAGTGGGGTATACTAAAACATATAATTAAAAAAAAAGCCAATTTCAATAAGATTAGGGCAGCTCTACAACATATCGACTGGCATAAACTCCTTAGTGATAAAAACACTGAGAATAAATGGAAACTATTCAAACAAATATTAGAAAGGTACATTAAAACCAATGTGGCTTAGTAGAGAAGTAAAACAAGAGATTAAAAATAAGAAAAGGGCATTTAAATCATTTAAATCAGACAAATCAAAGGCATCCTATTTAAGATATAAGGAAGCCAATAACGCTTGCAACAAGGCAATTAAAGTGGCTAAACTAGAAAATGAGAAATTGATAGCTAAAGAATGCAAAACCAACCCCAAAAATTTTTTCAAGTACATCAATTCTAAAAAAACATAAAATGAAAGTGTAGGTACACTTGAAACAGAGTTGGGTTTATTAGCTAATGAAGACCAGGAAAAAGCAGAAATTTTAAATAACTATTTTTCTTCAGTATATATTAATGAGGATCCTATGGCAAGAGATATGCAAATGATTGCTGCAAAAAACTTGCAAACAGCTTGTGATTGGATAACTCGAGACAAGGGGCTACAGCTATTAAAGAAAATTAATGTAAATAAAGCTCCGGGGCCTGACGGTATTCGCCCACGAGTACTTAAGGAGCTAAGTGGGGAAATAAGTGAAACTCAGTATTTAATTTTTCAAGATTCTTTTGTTTCAGGTGTTGTACCGGAGGATTGGAGGAAGGCAGATGTTGTTCCTATATTTAAAAAGGGTTCAAAATCCTTGCCTGGAAATTATAGACCTGTGAGCTTAACTTCGGTAACTGGGAAAATATTTGAAGGGCTATTAAGGGATAATATTCAGGAATTCATTGGGAAGAACTGTGTTATTAGCAATAATCAGCATGGTTTTATGAAACATAGGTCATGTCAAACTAACCTAATTGCATTCTACGAAGAAGTAAGTAGAAGTATAGATCAGGGTGTTGCAGTGGATGTGATCTACTTGGATTTTGCCAAGGCATTTGATACAGTTCCTCACAATAGGTTAGTCTTCAAACTAAAAGAAATTGGTCTAGATGAATATTCTTGTTCTTGGGTAGAACATTGGCTTAAGGATAGAGTACAACGAGTTGTAATTAATGGTAAATTTTCAGGCTGGACAAAAGTGTTAAGTGGTGTCCCTCAGGGATCTGTTTTGGGACCACTTCTATTTAAAATATTTATAAATGATCTTGAAATAGGCATTGAAAGCCATGTATCAGTGTTTGCAGATGACACAAAACTTTGTAAAGTAATAAAATGTGAGCAGGATATTGCTTTGCTGCAGAGAGATTTGGATAGATTGGGGGACTGGGCACTAAAATGGCAGATGAAATTTAACATAGAGAAATGCAAAGTGATGCACTTCGGGGTTAAGAATGCACAAGCAACTTACACACTAAATGATAGTGAATTAGGGATAACCACACACGAGAAGGATTTGGGAATTGTTATAGACAACAAATTAGGCAGCAATATGCAATGTCAAAACACACAGATTGGTGATTACTGTGTATAGTGCACTTACAAATATAATTGAGTTAAAAATAAGCAGCTACACACTCTAGTGGATACTCTCTTATCCCCACTAATTACAGTAATGAACCAAAGTGAGCTTAGTACAATCTGGATATAACGTCCAGACTCTACTAATCAAATGAGTGGAGCGCTAAAGGTATAAACTTACCCTAAAGTAGGGTTAAATCTCAGATGTATATCAGTACATATAAAGGAAACAAAAAATAAAACACAATATAGTGTAAATCCACAGGTGGTAATGTATTTTGGTGATAATTCAAGTAGTCAAACTCACATTGATCAGAGCCTCAAAAGGGACAGGCTCAAATCACTTGCACAGTAGTGTCGTATGGAGACACTGCACCCTTTTGCTTGGAATGGATTTCCTCAAAGGAGAGAGAAAGGGAGACTTCCTAGTGTATTAAGTTTCAACAAAAAATAAAAAACACTGGTTATGGTTGTGCTCACCTTTTCCTGAGCCAATGAGAACCTGCAATGTCAATCTGCAGTTGCTAAGGCCAGTAAGATTTTGTCATGTATAAATAGGGGCATAAATTCTCGGGATGAAAATATAATTTTGCCGCTTTATAAATCGCTGGTAAGACCACACCTTGAATATGCTGTGCAATTTTGGGTGCCTGTTCTAAAGAAGGATTTGGGGCGCCTGTTCTAAAGAAGGATATCATGGCACTGGAGAAGGTCCAGAGACGAGCTACAAAATTGATAAAAGGAATGGAGCATTTTAGTTATGAAGAAAGGTTAAAAAAATTAAATCTGTTTAGTTTGGAAAAACGGCGCCTGAGAGGGGATATGATAACTTTATACAAATATATTCGGGGCCAGTACAAACCTTTATCTGGACATCTATTCATAAACAGGGCTAGACATAGGACACGAGGTCACACATTTAGCCTGGAAGAAAGGAGATTTCATCTAAGGCAAAGAAAAGGTTTTTTTTACAGTAAGAATAATAAGGATATGGAATTCTCTGCCTGAAGAGATGGTTTTGTCAGAGTCCATACAGATGTTTAAACTGAAATTGGATAAATACTTACAAAAACATAACATACAGGGATATAATTTCTAATTAGTGGGGTAATAGCTGCTTGATCCAAGGAGACATCTGACTGCTATTTTGGGGTCAAGAAGGAATTTTTTCCTAGTTTGTGGCAAAATTGGAAGCGCTTCAGACCAGGTTTTTTGCCTTCTTTTGGATCAACAGCAACAACATTTGTGAGGAAGGCTGAACTTGATGGACGCAAGTCTCTTTTCAGCTATGTAACTATGTAACAAACATACACACAATCCGCACAAACGCAACACCACTAACAATCCACATACATGTACACAACCCCACATGCAGCCTCTCACATGCAATACCCCAAACAGCGCCCACACATACACACACTACTAAACACACAATGTGACATATCCATCCACACACACAATTCCACAAGCTGCCCCCATACACAGCCCACATTCATATGTATCATACACGATACCACAATCTACTCATGAACATATACAATATAATAGCTCATATATGCACAAATACAATGATACAAAGCAATTACAGTATAAATAACACAAGCAGAATATGGCAGAATACACACCTCAATTAAAAAAAAAAAAAAAAAAATAGGACCGGCACGCTACGGGACATCACAATCCTATATAGGCACAGAGCTGCTAAAAGGTTGCCTACCCCTGATCTAGACAATAGAACAATTAACTAAATTTAGTTTTGTTTTAAATGGATTTTTATTTTGTTTACAGTATGCTTGCATGCTTAATGTTAGGCGCGAGTATTAATACAACATTGCCTACACAAAAGCTCAGTATTGCAAGATGTGCTACATGCACATGTGCCTACGCAGAGGCCAAATCAATTTTTACATTATAATATCTGCATTTCTTAAGCACTACTTAAGCATTTGAATGCAAAGCTGTGTATATATGCTACTGATTGCTACGTGAGACGATTGTGAACCCTATGCAATAAATTTTCCTTATAAGATAAGTGCAAACATTAAATAACGTATGTTAAATTCACAGGGTATAAACTTTAAGGCATCTAGTATCATTAACAAGGATATGTCGTATTTAAGCTAATGTAATAAAAGGAGTGAATAAAGAAAAAATTAACAAATAAGTGAAAAAGTTACATATAATGTGCATTCTAAATTATTACATGAATAAATGCTCTAGGGTATTCCTATTTGTTTTTAAACTAAAAGCTCCATGGTCCGACGTGTAGCACAGTTAATAAACTGAGCCTATACTCTGGTGTATAACATGAGAAGCATATGTAGTTTCTGGCTGAGACGTGAGTATGTAATTATCTATGCATTGATCGTGCTATTAAATATATAAAAGACATAAGCACCATCTAGTATAAACGTAAAACTACAATATTAGCTATATACCCAGTAAATTTAAATAACTTAATCAATAGTTAGCAAACAAACTCTGCAGTGTCATTATAATTGCATGGTAAAGTCATTGTAGCATAGTCCAATGCGTGTCATCCAGTGATATCATGCAGAGATACAGGGTGAAATTATAAAATCATATAAAATAAAATATATATGAAAATAAAGCAGATACGGTGCTGAGAAAAAAAAAAAAATTGATTTCATCCAAAATAAATAGCGGTGGGTACAGATATTTCCATGTTTTCTTTTCTGCTTGTGTTTTAATCCACCAGCAGCAGAGGAGCCGTGGGCACAACACCCCTAGGCAGGGGGAGCTGACTGCAGACACAGCCCCAGCCGATCTCAGGGATGCCAGCCATCCGTTGCCTCTCTCCGGGCCACGCTAAGCCTCCAACCGGGAGATCCACAGCACAGCGGGAACTAAGAGACCCACCAGTCCATATGAGACATATGCACCCACACTGCGGCTAGATGAGGCAAAGGTTGCCGTGCGTCTCACCCTTCTCCGGCCACTTAGAGTAGGTGCCAACGTTCCCCCAGCTACCGGTTTGCCAGGGGTCGTCGCAGTCCATTCCACTCGTGCTCACGGTGTCGGTGACAGCCACCTCCAGGCCCCCCTCAAAACTCAGAGGAGGTGGCTCCCTCTTCTCAGTATGGCACAGTCCCAGAGCCGCAGCATCCGGCCAGCAGGCCCCAAGGCCGCCGCAGCAGCATCCCGCCTGGCCCCACCACCCACGTGCATCGCCTCCAGAGCACCCCCTCATCTGTGGGTGTCATTTCAGCGAGGTGGCTTCACAGGTTAAGGCAGGCAGTCCAATCATGAGTAGGCATTTAGATCTGCGGTAGACACCGGGACTGCAGCGTGATTAATAAGTGTCTCTTAATTCCAAATGCAATTATCAGGCGGGCGACGCTTGTGTGGCCTGTGCCTTTGTAGGAGGTCAGCGTGTGTCCCAGGCGGTGATTTCCATTCTGGACATGCAGCCTCCATGTGGCCGGGATTACCCCCTCCAGTCGGGGGAGGGGAGGGGGCGCGGGCCGCATCTCTCGCCCATGTGAACCTCCCCGTCAATGGTTCTGCATCTGTTGTGCTTGCTCACCTGGCCAGGCGATCGGGTCTCGGTCAGCGGCTGCCCTTGTTTAGGATTAAGATGGTGATAGGCCGGTTTCTTTACTCTCAGTGCTCCCGGTAAGTATTTGGCTGCAAATTGGTATCTTTCGGAAGCTTAAATGTTTCCCCTTTACGTCTCAGCGAGCATTCCATGTTTCGGGCAGTTTAAAAGTAAGTTACATGCTGTTTTTCAGGGCTCGGGCTCAGAGCCACGTTAGTCTGCTGCCATGTGGCTTGGCGGCCCGGCCCCGCCCCGCCCCCGGCATACATTTATACACCTAACATGCTTTATATCTTAAGAGCAACTAGCATTGTTCTTTGCATATCTAGCTCAGCATGGTATACCATAAAAACGACGTTTATTAACTTGCAATCTTCATATAATATAAAAATGTGCCGTCTAAACTGTCACGATTTGAAATGTTAAGAAAATGCTTGTAGATGTTGTCGTGGCTCTGCGAGCCTGTTGTCAATCTTAAAGGACCACTCTAGGCACCCAGACCACTTCAGCTTAATGAAGTGGTCTGGGTGCCAGGTCCTTCTAGGGTTAACCCATTTTTAAATAAACATAGCAGTTTCAGAGAAACTGCTATGTTTATCAATGGGTTAAGCCTTCCCCCTAATCCTCTAGTGGCTGTCTCATTGACAGCCACTAGAGGTGCTTGCGTGCCTCTCACTGTGCGCATTCAGCCCAGGAGGAGGAACGGAGGAGGGGAGAAGGAGGAGAGCTCCCCGCCCAGCGCTGGAAAAAGGTAAGTTTAAACACCTTTCCCCCTTCCAAAGCCGGGCGGGAGGGGGTCCCTGAGGATGGGGGCACCTTCAGGGCACTATAGTGCCAGGAAAACTAGTATGTTTTCCTGGCACTATAGTGGTCCTTTAATAATAAAAAAAAATAAAAAATGGTCCACTTGTGAAGAAAACTGTGTCTTCTCCTGTGGGAAGAGTAGAATTTGTAAGTATGTTATTTTTTTCTTGTTTTACATGAATTCAACCATTGTACATGGAAATTATAAAGGCATGACTTATTAGCATTATTTACAAAATCAAACAAATGCTCAACTCTAATGATATTTAATATGAAAACTATAGCGTCTGTCTTAACTGGTTTGGAAGGACTAAAACATCCCTTTGTTATTAATTAACAGTATTTTGATGGTGTAAATGTTCATAAAATGTTTACAAGATGTAATTTGACAATGTCTTATTCTTGATTTGTCTTTTTGTTTGTAAAATATGCATCAATAGATTCAATCTCAGTGGAATAATTATACAAATTAAATTGTTAACTTAAGTAATTAGTATTTCTCAGCATTGTTTTCAGGTTCATAAAATGTTTTTTTTCCCGTAGAAAACAAAATCATCCACAAGATCGTTTCCATTTAAATACCTTGTGTCTTTTTAACATTTCGTCATAAAGTTCATCGATTGCATTACTAACATAATTTTACCCTCCTGACCCATGATTACTTTTACAAAATAAATTACTTATTTAAATATTCATAAACATGAGAAACTGCATAATATTCAAGTCGTATGAATAAAATCTTCATATGCTATTTAGATCAGCCGATTCACCATTGTCAATTAAATGTTACTGGGTATATCCTGTTATTGAACTATGTTTGATTTTATATTTAGAATTTGCGACAAAAAACGTGTACCTAATATTGTACTTCTGATGTGTTCTTGAGGTCTTTCAGTGCTTGGCAATATTCTATACAACTGAAAATGTTATTTGTAATTTTGGTAAGTGTATTAAAAGTTATCAGTGGTGGAAAGAGGATAGAGGCACTCCAAACTGACAAAGACCCTTTCAGGGGTAGAAACATTGCGGTGTCTCACTTATCCAAAGAAATACAATTTAAGATACTTGGAGTGCCCAGATCTTCTTTCTACCACTGATATCTACTCCCTGGGGCTGGTGCTGTGGTCCAGTTTAGCACCCGGACCTTCACGCGATTAGAGTGCGCTTTATTTTTTTTCTCTTTTTTGCAAAAAGTGTATTAACAGTTGACATTCTGGAGATTTGGCCGGAAAGATGTCTTAATAGTGTTTGAGACATTTAAGGGAGTTAATTCTATAAACAGCATATTACAGTGAGTTGAGAGCCTGCAAAATATAGAATAAACTTGCTGAGGTAGTTAAAGGTACAGGTCTTCCAACAGACAGTTTAATTGATTTTTATTCTAAACAACAGTACAGGTTTCACTACCCTTAACCCTTTCAGACATATAGACAAACTGGAATATTATGAAAGAAATAAGGTCCTTATTCTGGGGTATTGCTATGTGGAAAAAGGACCTGGGGCTTCAGCCCAAGGGTACATTTTATAGCCAAGCCTCTTTAACCCCACACTCACAACATTACAAAACCTTCTCCAGCAGCAATATATCCGCACTGTGCTGAATTAATGACAAATATAGTGGATTAAAGTGACACTGTCACACATTATGTAAGTAAGCAATTATGTAACAAGAAAGAAGAGGCAGATTTTTGAATAGCAGCAGGGCACTTAAACTAACAAATAAAAGGTGCTAAAATTAGACCTAGAGCTTTTTAAGGGCCCACTTGAGGCTTCAATCCTTGTCAGCCCTTCTTAACAACACCACTGCCTGTAAGTACCCATATTGTTTACAAATATACATTGTATTTAACCCCTTGTGACATGTCATGATTCCCTTTTATTCCAGAAGCTTGGTCCTTAAGGGGTTAAACACCATCTGCTGAATTCTGCTGAGTTTTAACAATCAATCCAAGAATTTGAAGTAACCAACGCAGTCACCATGCATTCTTCAGCAGCCACAGAACAAATGATAAAATTACAATATGATATTAACAATTATAAAAATGACCTTATTAGGTTTAAGAAACAGAAATTAGATAAAGTCAACCATGATTATAAATATCATCAAGTTTATAACCCATTCCAAAATATAGATACCGCATAGGTAAATTCACCTTTCAAACAGTTGATATTAGCTCTGATATTAGCTTAGGGAATCCGCATCCGATGCAGAGTTTAAAGAAGATACATCCAAAATGAAACCTGTGACTTTTTTAGACCAGACCACATATCCAGACGAATCTCTGGGAACATCCCGCATGAGTACTCGAGGCAAAAGAAAAATGCAGCCCCAAGGAGAACAAAGAAGGGACACATAGGCAAACTGCCCAGAAGGAGGAAACACTGATTTTTAATTTATCCAAGAAAGAATTGACTAAGGAACATTTATCGGTTCTAACAAAGTGACTTACTTTTGTCCCTGTCACCAAACCTGACCCCTTCAGATCAGATATTGAGCTATACAAACTGTAGCGCATATTGAACAGCAATGGACTATGCAGAGATTGGATCAATACAACAAAACAGAATCTGTGTCATGCTAGACAAAAGAGTGACATCAAAAGCTCCAACCTCTCCATCAAAACTTTCATGCAAGGTGTTAAACTGGATACTGAACAAATAGTGAAAAATCCTCCGGATCACAGAAAAAAACTGACATCTTCAGAACAAGAGGCATTGAAAGATCTCATGAATGATCCTCACATCATCATTTGACCAGCGGATAAAGGAGGTGCCACTGTAATTCTATCATGTGACAAGTATAGAAATGAGAATATACGGCAACTCCCTGACACCTCCACATACTGCAAACTTACCTTTGATCCCATTAGCAAATTCCAACAGAGAATTAGTAAACACAGCAAGATGGGGGCATAATTGGGCTATCTGGACAGCCAAACATCTAATTATCTTCTTGCGCAACATCCCAAACATTATACATCTTGCATAAGAACTCTAAGGACCCACCAGGAAGACAGTCTTTTAGAACCAATAGCCCAATATATTGATTTTCATATGAAAAATCCAGTCAAAGCTTTTCCAACATGTCTTAGAGACGCTAGTGATTTCTTGGGGAAGATTAGTCAAATAACATTTGGAGATGGTGACATTATTCTGTCCACAATTGATGTTCAGAGTTTGTACACCACAATACCGCATGGTCTAGGTATTCCATCACTCGTAGAAATTCTGAGTTCTTCCAAAGAATACCATGGGCCTCAGAGTGAATACTTGTTGGAGCTTCTGCATTTAGCACTCACTTGTAATTATTTTAAATTTGAGGAACATTTTTAGTTACAGATATCCGGCATGACGATGGGGGCGGCTATAGCACCCTCATACGCCAATGCATTTATGTTTTGGTTTGAAACACAATATATACTGGCAGAGTACAATGAGAAAATACTTTCATACCATTGTTTTGTGATGTTTTCCTTATCTGGTGTGGTACCAGTACAGAATTGGAAAATATGATAGAGGAAACCAATCAATTAACCTTACCAGTTAAATTTACCCTTACCAGTAACAACACTGAGATTCCATTTTTGGATGTTATGATTTATAAGGACCAAAACTGACTTGGATATACTCTACACAGGAAAACTACTGACAAACACACTACTGATGGCCACCAGCTCACATACTCAACATCTGAAGGACTCGCTACCATTATCGCAGTGTATGCAAGTTCTGAGATACAACAGCAACACCAACAATAGAACAGCTCAACATGGAGACATGACTAAAAAATTTCTGCCAAGAGGAAATCATCCAGATATATTAAGGATAGCCCAACAAAAAGTTGTTCA